CCTGCTCAGTATAGGGGCCCCTGCTCAGTATAGGGGCCCCTGCTCAGTATAGGGGCGCTGCATAGCGCCGCTATACTGTCACAACAAGGTTGCAGGTTCAGAACTGGTGATATTTTTACTTTCTGATGTCTAAAATGCATTCTGCTGAAATGATATTGTTAATATTTTCCAGAGTCATTATAAAATAATCGGCCCTGAAGCCACCATCAGATCTGCTGTGTGAGGATGAAATGCATCATAATCATCTACAGACGTTGTGATCCATTGATGGGCAGGTTCATCTCTCTTCAATGTCCTCAGTTTTTTTTTTAGCATTTTATTTGTTTTTCTTCTCCAATCTTCATCCTTTTTGCTTTTATTTCAACTTTCCTCAATAAACCTGATTTGCATTTACCTTTTGCTCAGTTTGCTTTTGTTTGCCACAAACAGCCTGATGGGGACGAAAACTTTGACAAACTCCTTCCAAACTATTAAGGCAGTTAAAAACTGTTTCCAGTCTGAACAGGAAGGAACTGGTGGAGGATGTTGGTTGAATGTCTGTGGGAACGCTGCCTGCTGTCATCTGGATCAGTTCAAGATGGCCGCCAACTAGGGTTGCCAGCCATCCCATAAAATACAGACTCGTCTCGTATTTGGTTGTTAAATGTTGCGTCCCGTATTGAACTGATAAGGGACGCAATTTGTTCTGTATTTCTATAAATGTCCGATAGACACTCCTACACACACATATCAAGACTAATTGTAACAATAATGACCAAAATAAAACACAGGATATATTAAGGTCAGCTAAATTGTCTTGGTGTGAGCCAATGGACCCCCAGAACGCTACGGACTGACGCTCTTGTGGTTGCCTAGAGACGGACACTATGCAGCCGCGGTGAGCTGCTATCAACCGCGTCTTTTTCAGACATCCTCAACCTGATTCTCCATCATCATAAGAACCAAAACCTCTCGTAAAGATACGGATGTGAGAGGGAAGACTCAAATCCCAGGCTGAACATGTTAGTGAAGATGAATACAGGGCAATTAAAACAAATGTGTTCGTCCCGGCGCGGTGTGCTGCATGATGCCAGACAGAATGGATCAGGAGAGGAACCAAAGACCCGGTTAGAACCTAAAGAACCAGACATCAGCATCTCTTCATCCCTCAATCAAATCCTGAGGCTGATATGATACAGAACATTTTGCTATGATTGATTAAGTTTCTTTTTGTGGTTTTGACTGTTATGGTTTGATTATTAGATAATCAATTATTTGCTTATTTAATCTATAGTTGTATCAGCCAAAATAATACAAATGGCCATTTAAAGAACAAATCACATTAAGAGATTAACAGTAAATACATAAATATTTCCTACTTTAAAAGATTTATTAAGACTTTCTGTTTTTATTAAGAAATGTTGACATATTAATTCAGTGGTCGTTTCATGTATTATTAATGTCAGACGCAGACCTGCAGCCCAGGGGCGGTTCTAGATGGGGGCCACCAGGGCTACAGAAGAAATTATGCTAAATAAATGTATTTTGTTAATATTCAGAGGTGGATTTTTTTTATCCTTCACAATTTTATTTTAACAATGGATTAAAAATTATACAGATGCACTTTTAGCTGCTGTATTGAGAGAGGATCATACTTTCCATCTGCTAGATCAGGATCTGCAACCTGGATCTCTGGAGACACAAGAGGCTCTTTGGCTCACTTATTATGTCAAATGATGAAATATCGCTCTGTTTTTTTGTTTCATTCTTTTTTAAGTGTTGCCGTGGAAAAACACTGACTATCCTGGCCTTCGTGGTAAATTTAGTCTAGAATCAATCAATCAAATTTTATTTGTATAGCACATTTCATTAGAACCAGCCTCAAACCCAACTCCTCACTTGTATAAATATTTTAGCAAAACTCTTTACAATACCAACGTTTTCACATAACTTTTATACTTTTGGAGCCCTGCCTCAGGACACATTTTGATTATTAAATTAGTTCAATCTGGAAAGACTCAGACGGACAAAAAGGGGAACGATTAAAAGATTTAATGACAGCAATGAATAACAGTTCTTTGGCGCTCGGGCCCCGGCAGCTGATCTGAGCTGAGATTTGATGTGAACTCCATGAACATCCCAATAACTGATTAGGGATGCTCTCCCCAGGGGCCCGACACTGGTGGTGGAGGTCTGGAAAGAGTGCCATCCTGGAGAGCCGAAGGATGTGGGTGGAGAAGGGAGGTGGTGGGTTGAACGCAGCTGGGAAGCAGCTGACGGCTTCGGTGTGGATCCTTTATGCAGAGCCTGATTGCTGATTGAACGCGCCAGGTGAGGTCCAGCGCTGAGGTCGGAGATGAGCATGACGTCGATGGGCGAATGGAGGGGGCGGAGTCTGAACTTCCGCTTTAGCTCCATGTGTTTTGATCAGTTACTCAGTACTTGAGCATTTTACCAAATACATTTTACACTTGCTTAATTAAACATGTTTAAGGTGTGCTACTCTGATTGGAGTACACTTTGGGAGGGCTCTATGCATGAATGATTGCTCTCTGGGTCACTTTTTTTAAGGTTTTGTTGGCTATGGTTGCCTTTATTTGGAAATGGTTTGACAGGAAAGTGGATAATGAGAGAGGGGGAAGACATGCGGCCTGCGACCACCGCCACGATGACTAAGGCCTCAATATGTGGGTTGTGCTTTGCGCCATCACAGCAGCTCCTCTGGATCACTTTTTAAAAACAAAAACACTGCCATAAATATTGTCTATTGTTGCAGCGGCCATCCCACCCAATGACAGTAGGGTGACACGCAGTGGTGGGCGGAGGTCCACCACTGCGCGCTAACTGAATATTTTCCACATTTGACCTATTATATTTTTAAACGACGGAAAAATTTAAAGCCCGTCGGTCATTTGACAGGTTATAATTAACACCCTTGACTGGTGCACATGCGCACATATTACAGACTTTACGCAGAGTTCATCGCAGAGGCAACTAAAATCAATCAATAACAAAATCCTTTCTGCATATCATCTCATGGACACTGAACTAAATGGGTCTTTTTGACCGGGAGCTGACAGAGTGTTGAAGAGTTATGGACCGGACGCCTTGGAGAGTCTGGTTCAGAAGTGCATTACAAACCTTTGGTAGAAACGGCGCGTTAAATTTCAGTCTCCATTACAGAACAGAGAAAACTAAAGAGAACTCAATGTTGTGTTAATCCATTTATAGTCTAAACAGAAGGGCCAGCAGTTTATTTTGAGAAAGTGCAGACATTAATTAGACCGTAACATGCGCATCCCGCTGCACATGTTAAAAATCCTTCATCTGACCTCCAAACTTTAACAAATTCCGAAAACATCACACTCTCATTCAAATGAGCTGTGATTTTTAGAATGCTTCTTTGAATTGTTCTCAATATTTCATACACTCCATGTATGGCCATATCTTCATCTGTCTCACTCTGGGTTTTTCACAAGTTTGTACTTAACACAAATATCTGTATCTTTCTCAATCCTTTGACAATCCTGACTAAATTGCTCCCAATAGTGGGACATGTCAGCCTTAGTCATCCTGCAAAGCTTGGCAAGAGTCAAATTCACATTTATCTTGTCCAGCAACATGTCTGAACATGAACATATTTCAGCCTTATCTAACTTTATCTAAGGGGAATTCCAAGTTTAACTGAACCACATAAACTATAATATTTATTTGACCATAGTATGATTTGAATTTGGAGAATTTTTCTCATTTCATTTCCACACTTTTCTGCATTAAAACCTCTTCAAATTCAAAAGTGTCCTGATCCTTGAAGGAAGTAATGCAGGACAGTTTAGCTGACTGAGACGGTCAATAAAGTACTGATGTACATTTCAACAGTACATTGCACCCAGTACACTGTCCTGGTGGAGAAAACAGGAGACGTTCAAGAACAGCTGATCCAAACAGAGAGTTCTCTACATCATCACAACGGCTGATAACCATGGAACCAACTGGACAACAACAACTGCACACTGCTGCACAATAGATAACCAGCATCTAGCTGGATATCTGACCTCTGACCTGTGAAGAGACCAAACTAGCTCTACGCTTGTCATTTCCCAGAATGCATCTGGCCACTCCCAGTAATCTGCTCCTAAGTTTGGCTGCACTTTATTCTGAGTGTTGCTGGTGAAACTGAATCAAAAACATGGATACTAAAAATAAATTCATACTGTTGAATTTAAACCATTTTAAAGCACATTTTTACAGTTACTTGAATCATCTAAGCACAGCTCTGAAATATTTCCATAATCTGATAAAACCTGACACATCCCTGCCTCACCATCACCAGCCTGGACTTCTGGTCTGAAAACCTCAACAGGATGAATTGTTGCCTGGATAAACACATTTTGTTCCTCTGTCAGATCATCAGTGAAGGGATATAAACCCTCCATCCCCTGGTTGAAGGCACACTGCTTCCAGCCAATCTGGTTTCTGCTGCTGCTTTGATTCTTCATCACAACAAGGTAAGAATTGGCTCAACAAACCCAAAAGGAAAAGCTGCTTACAATTCTGTTCTTCTACTATATTTTATGATAAAATCTGGTTCTGATTCTCTGAAACATGAAAACTTGTTTCCATCATGTTCACATTGATGGATGAAATGTATCATTTGGTCCAGCAGCTCTTTGAAAATCTAGAAAATCATCTAATATTTTCCGTCATATCTCAGAGTAACTGAATGTTTCTTATCTTCCTACAGATGAAATTTGTTCTTTTCACTTTGTTCCTTTGTGGATTCGTCCTTAAAGTAAATGTGAGTGAAATCCTTCTCCTCTGTTTGCTGTTTAGACAATCAGTTGTTAAAAATCTACTCTTAGTGTTTTTATCTCTGTACTTTGTGAAACAGGCAGTGAAACACTGAAATGTGTCTGTGTGAACAGCAGATAAACGATGATAACTTTATTTTCAATCAGCTCTAAAAACTGTGAAGTCAAAACAGTTTTTTGTAAGTAATTATTGTTTATATCTGTTTGTTTTGATTAACAGGGAAAAAGTTCGTCAGGAGGTTTGTGCTTTAATCTTTCTGGTGTTTTGAGTTCACAAGGTGGCGCTGCAGGTTTTAGTCTGAAGACAAGCTGGGCATGAAGGCTGATGTTGGACGTTCATCATTTATTGGATCTAAAACTGTTAAACATGAATGTGTCTTTAGATCATGGTGTCTGGACTTTTCTGTGTCCTGATATCAATATGATCTGAATGTCTCATATGCAGCATCCCTCCCAGAGGAAAAATCCCTCGTGGCATGTGAGGGAGCAGTGGCTCGACTCCACTGTGGTAAGGTCACTGGTTTCACTGGTCGGTTCTGGAGCATTACACCATGAATACATTCAGGTTTCCAACATTTCCTCTTGGCTCTGGCAGCAGAAGGTCAGGCTATCTATGTGACCAGTGCTTCATACGGACGCACTAATAAGAAGACGTGCAGCGCTGGGAGACCTGCCGACCAGCTAGAGAACACTGAATGCTACACATACAGAGAGGAAGTTGGTGAGAGGTACAGAGCTTCAGTGTTTCCTGAAGGTTTATCAAACTGGATGTGAATGAATGAATGAGGAGGTCAAAGAAAGGAAAATCACTGACTTTGATCTGAATCCACAGATGCAACGGGAAACAGTGGTGTAAAGTCAGAGCCAGTAACTATGTGTTTGGAAATCCCTGCTATGGGACCTACAAGTACCTGGAGGTGGAATATATTTGTTACGGTGAGTTCAGGCTCTCACTTCACTAAAATCTGTCTACGAACAGGAACAGCTTTAAAAACTTGGTGCAACAAAAACAGCAACTTTATGGATGTTTTCTCTAACTATCTACTTTAACTGAACAAATCTAAATAAAAAGCATTGAGAAGCTTATTTATTCTGTTTTTTAACTTAATTAACAAACCCAGAATATCTGATTGGCAAATTAATTAAATATAAAAAAATAGTTTTTTTAAGATCTAGAAATCTGTCAGATATGCTACATTTTTTTATTTGTATTTATTTTATTTTATTTTATTTTTTTACTTCTTTCTTTGTTTCCTTTCCTACAGAATACTTATTTCATGATTAGAACTGGTGATATTTTTCATCAAGGTGTCTTCAATTTATTCTGCTAAAATATATGATTAATATTTTCATTGTTCTTTTCTTTATGCAGTTGAATGAAACGACCATCAGATCGCCTGTGCTGTGGATGAAATGCATCATAATCAGTAACATCCACAGACACTGTGGTCCACTGATGTACATACAATTTCTCCTCAGTTTCTTTCACTTTCTCAACCATTGTTTTTTTGTTTTTGTTTTTTAGATTTTTTTTAATCTTCATCCGTGTTGCTTTCATGTCATGTTTTCCTGAATAAACTTGACTTGCATCTACATTTTGCTCTATCTGACTTTTTCTGGTTTTGTTCACTACAAACACTCTGATCAGGATAAAAAAAATCTCTCCAAACTATGAAGGCATGCAGTTTAAAAACTGTTTCCAGTATGAACAGGAAGGAACTGGTGGAGGAAGTTGGTTGAATGTCTGTGAGAACACTGCCTACTCTCATCAGACCAAGATGGCTGCCAACCAGACGCGATACCTTTAGGGAGTTTTATTGGAGTCACAGCAATGTTACATCACAAAAAATGGAAAGTCATGAACATGATTATGGTCTTCCAAGTCACCAGTTGAAGACTGGTGTTCATTCAGTTGTTCACTGCCAGATCCTCTCTGCAGCTGAAAGCAGAAACAAAGCAAAATTATGTTGTTGTCTGTTCAGCACAACATGAATGTCATATAAACTCAGTGTTTGTTTCACCTTTGTTGACTTGGACACATGCATCCTCTCTGGCTACAACACTGACAGAAATCTACAGTGTCACAAAGCCTGAAAACATATAAGCTTCCTAAAATTAGACATCTGACGTTGTTTACTACTGTGAAATCAACCACTGCTTATCTCTCATTTGCCTTGGCAAGTCCGACTGAGACACTGGATCCAGGCTTAAAGGAATCCAGGACTAGCTGAACATGTTGGCCTAAATATATTGTTAACTGCCTATTAACTAAAAGAAATGCTGTTTGTGATGCACCAAAACTCATAAATACTTAAAAAATTAAGCAAATTTTTGAAGTGATTCAAAAATTTACATGTTCTGTTATATTTTTGACCCATGGAGGTCGCCGTTTTTTCACCTGCTGGGTTCATGAGGCATAATGGTCCATTATGTACTGAATCTACAGAGTAAACATTGGAAGACTATCTTTACCTGAGTTATCATATTGTGTTTGACTGCTGTAATTTTAGATAATGCCACACTGTGTCACTGTTGGCTGTGGTGAGTCTTGATTGCTTCCCACATGAAAAAAAGAGCGCAGTGGAAAAGAACCGAAGGACCTACTTGTGCATTTTTCTCCAGAAGACTCTGAGTCATTTGTATGAGCAAAACTGACTAAGGTCTCAACAGGTGACTGTTACCTTAACTAGCTAAAAATAACTGTTGTGCTGACAGTTTTATCCACGCCCAAACCCCACTGCCGCCGGCGAGAGACCGAGAAACGCTGGGAGCGTTAGAAGCGCTTTTCAATTGACAACAGCGCTATAGCTGCTCCCGCAGGTATGAACACTAGCAGCTCCTACAGCCAACTCTGTCCTCTTCCTCTGTTTGGTTCTCCTCATCTTCATCACCTCTTGTGATTTCTGCTTTCCTATTGATTTCAATTTGAAGAGGCTTTAAAAACTCATTGCTGTTTTGGCTGGACGGCGCGTCAGTCTATCAGAGACGTGAGGATGGACTGGATAAATTTCTTCGTAATCTCCATGCTCAACACCGACAGCCAGGTCTTCACCAGATCCAGGCTGATCATCACCAACTCACTGGTCACTCGACTGGCCTTGATGACCCCTGGGTTGGCCTGCTGGAGGCTCAAATGTTCCCAAACCATCTTCTACAGCGACTGCATGAAGACTGAGATGAGGCGGACATGCAGCTGGCATTGTCGCTGGAGGCCAGATTCAGGATAATCAGAGCTCAGGTCAGCAAGGAGTGAACGGCCCACTTACAGAGAACACAGATGAGTAAAAGCAGCTCAATCCACCAAGCACTTACATCAAGAGCCACATGCCTCAAATATTTATGCATAAATGAAAAATAGGTTCCAATTAAATGATCTCCTGTAGCAGTCTGTATTACAGCGATTCTGAAGCACCCTCTGACTGAAGACACTCTTTTCCCAAGACATTCTGAATAGTGTCTAAGTCACGCCCCTTCTGCTAGAGGTCACAGGACCTTTAATTTAATTTAATTTAATTTAATTTAATTTAAGTTTATTTGATAGAGACAGACACATGTAGACACAGACAAACAGAACAGAGCAGCAGTCCCATGTTTGCTTCATAGTGTTTACAGCACAAGCTAATTCACAGCTCTTGTTCCTGGATGGGCCTTTTGAACAGTTCATGTAAAAACTATTGGAAAGTGAAATAATAATCATTTAAAATAATAAGATGATGTTGTTTCTGTATTCACAATCACATAGGGTGTTCCCTATGAACATGCAAACAGCTAAAAGAGATGGAAGAAAACACAGAACTAAACCTTTTGTGATTCTTGTTGTAAAGGTTCTTTATTGAGAAAAAAACAGACTTTACTGTCTTTGTATGACGAGTTAAACAAGAATCATTTAGCCATGATGATAATCTCTGCAAGATGTGAAGCTCTTCTCTGACTAGAGAACATCACCCAGTTCTACATCACCCAGTTCTAC